CCTTACTGTGATGGCAAAAGTAATTTCGACTACGACATCGACTACTGTGCCAAAGAATGGCGAAGCTGTTAATCAGAGCGCATAGAGGCCGAGAATGTAGAGGTCGCTGAGGCGCTGAGAAATACCCCGGAGGGACTGGAAGGTGAAGCCAGTGTTACGTCGGACAATCGCAAAATTTACACGCGTGATTCGGGTGCGGAGTTTCAACGAAGGAGGCTACGCACAAGCGTCCTAAGTGTCTGCAGTGAAAACTATACTTTGCTAAATCCAGTGACTTTGCAGTCGAGCATGGAAAGAATATGACCCACCCTGTGTTGGAGCGTGACAGAGAGAAATTTGCAAATTTGGGACCAATAGCTTGACATTGCGAGAGCGATCCAAAACGAGGATCAGCACAGATGAGGGCGATCCGTCTACGGATTTGACAAATGAATTCCAGAAGGAATCCGATAAGGTTTTAAATTTACCTCAGATGGCGAAGATGGGCGGGTGTCGGTTAAGACAGTGCAGGCGAAAGTTCCGACGATGAAGACGATGACTCTGACCCTGATGTAGATCTAGAGCTCTAGGCTGGTGTGATAGAATGATCAAGTTATGATGACGACTATTGCATCGAAGTAGTGAGAGCTCCTACTAACAAAATGTGCTATTAAAGTATTAAGGTTCTCAAGGAAGAATGGTTTAGGTACTAAGGGAAGATGATGGCCGGATGCAGAACGAGATATGCGAGAGAAGCTGCCACGGTTGCAGTTTGCCAGACTTATCCTGGATTATTTCCGGATGTGCGCAAGAAGATAAGTGATGGAAAGGTGTCTCCGAGATACATCATACATGCGGCTGTACGACGACTCGGATCAAACCTGTTTACGGACGTTAGTTTTCCGGGGTTGTTAGAACCTAGGAAGCAGCGCCGACTATTTTGACAGTTCCGACAGGTGCTATGTGTAGCTACCATATGTTTTCTTGACAGGTGAATATAACACTTTCACCGGTCTAAAATGGTATGCCATTAGGCCCTACCTAAAACACTTCCCTATACTGCCAACAAGGAGATCGCGGCAATGGCCCGGCGTCAATACTATTACCAATTGGTCATGGGCAAACCGCCAACCTCAGATCGGGACAAAGCCAGACACGTCAGCTTCAACCGCTGCTTCGAGCCTACACCAATCCGGCTCTGTGCTATGATTGGAAAGTTCCGACGATGAAGACGATGACTCTGACCCTGATGCAGATCTAGAGCTCTAGGCTGGTGTGATAGAATGATCAAGTTATGATGACGACTATTGCATCGAATTAGTGAGAGATCCTACTAACAAAATGTGCTATTAAAGTATTATGGTTCTCAAGGAAGAATGGTTTAGGTACTAAGGGAAGATGATGGCCGGATGCAGAACGAGATATGGTATGCCATTAGGCCCTACCTAAAACACTTCCCTATACTGCCAACAAGGAGATCGCGGCAATGGCCCGGCGTCAATACTACTACCAATTGGTCATGGGCAAACCGCCAACCTCAGATCGGGACAAAGCCAGACACGTCAGCTTCAACCGCTGCTTCGAGCCTACACCAATCCGGCTCTGTGCTATGATTGTAACAAATACGTACATGTTCACATTGCTCGACTACCGCACTGACGGCTGTCTCTGCCCTGTCTGCCCCGGTGGCCAAAAATTCAACACCAGCCACTTTGCCTGCATCCAGCAACTGATCCAATGCATCATGGTAGGCCCAAAAATTCTTCTCATTGGCCCTGATCTCCTCCAGCAACTACAGGAGCGCCACGACTTCCATGGTATCTGGACCCTCCACAAACACCTTGGTTCTTTTCTCCAGCATGTAGAAAAACCCCTGTACCCACACCCGTCTCTGACATATCAACAGATGTTTCCTATACCCCGGCTAATCACGCTGTTGAAGTACTATTCCAAATTCCAATCCAAACCAATTCATCGCGCCTGTTGGTTCCGCCTATAATACTTCCAATACAGGCAAACCAGCACATACCGAGTGCATTCGTGGTCTGGTGCGGCATCGGTGCACCCCCAACCTTGCTCCTCAACCGAATTATGACGGATAACCTGGTCCTACTTGGCATTTCGTACTCTGCACTAAACCATTCCAGAGCACTACACGATAAAGACCCGATCCGAACCACAGAGGTGGGTACGCTATTTAGTAGGTCAGAAAGCGAATACGTGGCACACTCGATGGTGTCAGTTTTTTGTCAGCACCGGCCTGAATTGACCCTGTGCATATCCTTCATTGTCGACTCACTTGGTCCAAGCTTCAACAGGGAATTTACTGACCACTTCTTCCCATCGATCTTCACCGAACCACTACAACGGCTATGAGAGCCATTACCATACGTACAAACATTGTAACTTAACTCCTTTGAAATAAATAATTTTATCCCTATACTGCTCTCCGATCATATGACATTACAGAGTGTGGTAATAACTTACGAATCATTGACTGATCGAGAACGTAGTCCTAAACTGATTGAAACGAGTTCTGAGGGCAGAGTTCAAGAGATATGTCTGTGGAACCACCGTCTTTGGTTGGGTCGGGGCGATAATTTCCAAGGAACCATTGGTGGAGATAATCCCCTTAAAGGCGCCAGCAAATGGAGCTTTGCCTACGCCACCGCCAGCAGCGCTAGTGGCGAAGGAGTATGAAGCTCATGGATCAGGAAAAGATGATAAGCATGACTGTATAGCCAGCAATATGCAGGGGTATTTCATTTTGAGCTGCCTCCATTCCAAGCGCGGATTGCGCTTTTTACAGATAGGATGCAACAAACCGAATCAAATGTATCATTGGCGTTGGATACCAGCATGAAGAGACTAATCTGTATCTATCGTTGGTTAGACATTTCCATGGCAATATAGACTGTGATCTTTGTGCGAGTCGACTAGAGAAGACAGTGTGGCAGAGATATGCTAACAGCTAACCTCTACAATATATTTAGATTGAAACAGCACAGCAAAGATGTATGCCATCTTCTTAGAAGTATAGGAAGCTGGGGAAGGCGATTTCTACTGTAAGGCAATTGAAGTCGTGGTACAAAGGAGCCGAGTGAGATGATCGTACAGCTTTTCTCAATAGACGGACCCTCGTCCGTAAATATTGATATCGATTATTGTGATTCCACTGAATACTAAAGGAACAGTCGTGTCCCACTCCTAACTGGAAGTCGAATACGCATCTGACACAAGCTCATAAGATGGACATGATCAAAGAGATTTTGTAGATATATGCACTATGGGTATAAATATAACATATATTTTGGTCGAACCTGTATAGGGAGGATACATCAGGAGATGATTTATAATGACATGCATCGACATCGAACGTATCCTGATAATGAATGTAAGATTTTAGTTGAAGAGTCACGCAATGGAATTATGTATCTCTCTAACCTGACTTGACCAAAATATTCCGAGAGCAGATAATACCCTTTTGAAGCGCTCTAGTTCTGTGGTGAGGGTTTTTCAAGCGATCAAAAAACTAACTGTCGCCGCGAGTGGAAGATCAAGAAATGGTCGAGACTCTAGTTCAGGGACGAGGCAAGATAAAAGAAAAAGAAGTGGCAATGCTTAAAGATTTACACAAAAGTGTGAGAAATCTCTGAGATGCTCTCACTAACACGGTCACACCGCGTATGTCATGATTTATAAAGAAGCTGCTTGTGATTGGAGGATGATATATAACACAATCCTAATACGGAGAAGAACCTGTGCAAAAACTGAAGAATTTCACAATCAACATGTCAGGGTTCGTCATTTGATGCTGCCATTGTTTTAGATCGATGGTAGTGTAATAATTGTGGCTCCCTCCATTCGTCTCAGTAATTCGTTGTTCTTTGGTAAGTGAAAGTTATGAGTATGTATAAGAACATTTATAGGACTCGTGTCCAAAGTACCGTTTTCAAATTTCCATAATTTCCATAAGAATTGAACTGGTTTATACTCTATAGCCAAGAGTGCTAGGTTAATTTGTTGAGGTGTGTTCATAGCTCACTGCTATAATCACTGCTATAACTCCATCTTCTAATCAGTCTCTTCTCTGTAAAATGTGAATACATTTCATTTACAATCGTAGAAGGTTTGTATACAAGTGTCAATAAGTTGTCGTTTTATTGATTCTTTCTGTGGATCATTATTGTTTGGTAAATCGGTAATAATTATACGTAACGACAGCAAAACACCTATACCTAATATCAAGCCACAATCTGGTAACGGGATACAACTGACTGCCGTTGGAACTACTGCCCTCTGATCCGCTAATGTAAATATAAACCAACAGCCATGATATCTCTCTCTTAGTGGCTTCTAACGTACTAGTCACATTATTGTCTATTCGTAGTTCTTGACTGCACGATACTTGGGTTGCGCTGGTTCTGGTTTTGATACGACCTTGTTAGGGTCTGTACTACAAGGATTTGTCACACCCTTGTGAGCGTCAGCACCTTGTTGTGCTCTACTTTGTCGCCATTTTTATCACTCCCCTGCTTCCTTTACCTTGACCCGCCATTGAAATGGAGGCTCGGCCATTGTCTGATTCTCCATTCGAGATGGTAATTCCTTCCTGATTACATATGGGACTTTTATATCATAACTAGAACGCTTCGAAAAGGTCAGGTATACTCTCGAATTAAAAAAATCATGGTACAATTTAATGGACCTTTAATTAAAATCCCACGCACCTTGTCCGGATACAAAATTAAATGTAGCACATCTTGATATATTCTTTCTATGTAAGTTCGACCAAAATATTGTTTGTATCAATAGTTCATACATCTGTGAACTCTTCTTGGTCATGCCCACCGAATAGGCCTACGCCAGCTGCGTACACACTCCAGTAAGTAATGGGACACGGATGTGGGATGGTCCATCCAGGAGAGCTGTACGCTCATCTCAATCTGCTCTTTCAGCGGTTTCAGTTGCATTAGTTCCGTTTTGCCTTCTCCACTTTCTTATGCTTGTAAGAGGATGGTTTAAATCTCTGCTGTGCCGGCTCATACCAAAGCTTTTTTCGGAGGTTTACTGTCAGCATGATCTGTTTAAACTCTTTCAGTCAATCGATCGGCTCCTACCTGTCAATACGATCCGGCCAGTACGTGGTAGGTAGCGTACCTATATCATGGATGAACTTCATGCTCTCCGCCATCTTCTCGATCAGGATCACCCGTAGCCTAGAGTCTATCTTGACCGGGAAATGTCTAGCCAGAGATAGATACCGATTTACTGCGTTATGCGCTCCTGTATCCAATGACAATCCTGCACTGGTTTCACATTCGTGCTTAGTCTGCGGAAAGCTCGGAGTGAAGTAGTCTGGTTTGCTATTGGCCATTTAATCATGTCTCATCATCTTCTCTTGGCTTCGTACCAGGTGCTACCTTTAACGGAGGTGGAGCAAGTAAAATTATCTCTACAGATGACTTTATAGAAATTACATTACTTCTACCGACGGTTCCTTAAGGATTGCCTCTCCCCACAGCTTTGGAGAGAGTGCATCTATCGACGGTTGTCCTAGGCTCAGCACCTCTTGACTGTACGAGACTGATATCGGCCTCTGTTCATGACCAGTGTATAGTGTGCTATTGTCGAAAATATGCATCCGAAAGTCCTTTAGATAGCCCTTGTTGGCATACCATTTCAGACTCGTCAACGCCTTCTTGTTTCAACCGCTGTCAAGACTTATGGCTGCAGATCCTGCACCCTGGTCTCTAATAATATTGCAAAGTCTGCATTGGTAAACAACTTTGATCCAAATGGCCATATGCATGAAGGTATGATGTACCCAGATGATACCTTACCGTCAGGCATTGGTTTGCGTACATCTGAAAACATGCCAAGATAGGTCGTGTGAATCGTCAATGCCAGGGACGCTCTCTCTCAAATCTTGCTCTGCGTGTGTTCGTCCTTATTGCACAGCTCATCGGCCATTCATCCCTGGAAGCCTAGCCTGCTACGTATTTCTAGTAGGGAATTTCTAGGAGCTCTCGGAATCTAGATATACCAATCTTGAACGTCACTTCCCGATTCCATGACATCATCATTCCGCTCACATTTTATATCAGGTCCCTTGTCGTCGTCTTTATCGTCGGTCTCCTCGCTCTCGCTATCTTTTGGTCTTCGACATCTTTTGGTGCCTCCGTGTACGTTTCACAACTTTTTAGTCTCCTCATATCAATACGCCGACTCGTCATCCGAATATTCCTTCTTTGCTGATTCATGCTTCAGTTTGCTTTCGTAATCTCGGAGTGATCAGGTTCAACTTTGTCGTCTTCCCTTTGTCGTAGTCCAACACTGAGTAAGCTATATTCTTTCCGTTGTCCTGTCTAAAATCGGAAAAAGACTGTGAAGCCCTGGACTTAGTATGGTATAATTCTCACTCACAAACTTGCCCTTCCGTTCAACGTTGGACAGGACGCTTCTGCTAAGCTCGCGCCAACTTGATGTCATCCTAGCTCATCGATTGAGTTTTGGCGTGTTAATTCTGCGCCTCCTTACATTAACTCTCGCTTCGTCCTCTAAATGCTTCGTAATTTTTTTTTACCGTATTAATCACCTTCTCATCTTTGGCTACTAAACTATTCTATAGAAGCAGCGACGTTGCCTTTCTTGACTGGTCGGCGTAGTTGTCTTAGCCACTTTTGTCTTCATGATGTGGAGTATCTTTAAACTTAAATATGTAAGGGCGGACTAACCGGGCTGGCTATCTCTTAATATAAACGAAGCATACGTATGTACGTCAAACAAATATAGATTTAAAAATGCTTTAGGGATAATATTGTTCATTTCAAAATGATAAGTTACAAAGTATGTGTGTTACAATGTATGAACATATGGTATGGCTCTCATAGCCGTTGTAGCGGTTCGCGACAGATCGATGGGAAGAAGTGGTCAGTAAGTTCCCTTTTGAAGCTTGGGCCAAGTGAGTCGACGATGGAGGATATGCGCTGAGTCAATTCGGGCCGTGCTGACAAAACACTGATACCATCGAATGTGCTATGTATTCGCTTGCTGACCTACTGTGTAGCGTACCCACCTCTGTGGTACGGATCGGGTCTGCGCCGTGTAGTACCGTGGAATGGGTTAGTGCAAAGTACGAAATACTTTAGCCTTAGGGATGGAGCTAAAAGATAAGGGATTGAGACTAAATTCTTGCCTATATAGTTCCGCGCCAATCACTCACTACTCTAGTCTAGATTTATTCTAGGTGTCAACAGCTCAGATTGACGCGATATCCTTTGGCTGCATTCATTCTTCAAGTATATTGTATAAT